TGGGAAGCGAGCGCCGTAGCCTTCGGCCGTGAGCAGGCTCCCCGAGGGACAGAGGAAGGCCTCGGGTACGCGATGTGCTGGGGAAAGGTTCTGGAAGAATCTGGCAGGTCCAGCACCTGGGTAGAAAGCTTACTGCTGGCTCCTTTTGGACTTGCCGTGGAAAGCCAGCTTTTATCTGCATGTTGTTTAAATCTGGCTAGCAATTCTTTCCAGAAAGTGCTTTCTTAAACGTTTGACCGTTTTAGCTGATCTGTTAGCGGTCCTTAATGAAGGCTTGTTTTTCTCCGTGGTGAAGTGGGAGTTTTCAGTGTTCCCACTGTTCTCACCGTGTGTGTCCATAATGAGCTTGGAATTGCAAAAGGACCCTGTAAATGCAGCTGTAGTTGTCTCTGTCCTATAAAGCAAGTACAGAAAAGACAACCAACTGAGAGGGAGAAATACTGTCATTATGGTAGAAATTAATGAAAAGAGTGTTACTATGTTTTAGATGGCAGTGAAGTGGCCCTGATTGGACCTTTAATTTCATAAGGGCCATGATGTTCCTGGTAGCATAAGAATTCAGGATTAGTGAGGTCAGTGTTTCCTTCAAAATTAGTGTAACACCTTTTTCTGCTTTGCAGGTTTTTATTCAGACTCATTCTGAACAACTTAGTGGCAGCAGAAATTATTACGTATAGGTTTAACAAAAAAGTATATATGGATGGGAATAGCGGTTCTGAAGATTCTGTTTTGCAGAAGCTTAGATGTGAAAAGTAATCTGCTAAACAGTTGTGTAGTTATGTTGTACTTAATATTATGTTTTATAATATATTCCAAAGTCCTCTGCTGCAAAACCTATTTGATAACTGTTTATAGCAACTTCAGAAAACAAAGGTTTTTTAAATGGAAAATAGTTGCAAGACACTGGCAGAATACTGACTGGAGATTGCAGCAGGCTATTTACTCTGAGGGGACAGAAAAAATGGGTCCATGCTTTAGAGCATAACCACAGTTTATAGCTCTTGGGGTTTTCTTTGGTGTTGTTTTCTGCCCTCAGTCATTTGCAATTCCTTTAAGTAATGCTAAGTATGAACAAACTTGTTTGTTGTGTGCTGTCTTTACATACAGTAAATAATTGTCTTTGAATTGCTTTATGCAATAACTGAATGTATTGTTGCACACTTAACGAGAAATAATTTATTGTAGGAAAAAAAGCTGTACTGTTGCTGGAACGACATTTTGGAAACAAGCAGTAATAGTAATAATGCTAGAGAAGGCATGGCCACTACATTTAAAGTGTTCAGTGTAGCCTGCCACATCAGTTAGAGTTCTGCTAGTCTTCAGTTGCACTCAGGCCCATGAAAGCAGTTTTGATACAGAGAGGACACCCCATTTTAGCTTGAGCTGTGATCATTGGGAAAGATGTTTTGCAGATAAATTAGATCTGATACTTAGGTTTCACCTGGCTGTCAGTGAACTAGTTGATCTGATTCTGCATGTGAAATATTAATGAAGATTATTAATACAGGAATTAAGATGGGCATGGAATTTCCCCAAAGCGTGATACCACAGCAGGGTGGAAGTGGGAGAGTAATTGCCTGGAGGGGAGGGTAGTAATAGAACTCCTTATGAATAAGTGTTAAGACTGATCTTATATAAAGATGGCTGTGAAAACTAGAAGTGTGTTACCAAATACGATGACACATTAGATTGACTTTTATGCAGGAAGATAATTTGAGGAAACTAGTATGAGAAATGATAAAGCTTGGTCAAGGAAAGTGTGTTGTAGTTCACTTCAGGGTTGGGGGAAGAGATGGACATTTGGAAGTGGTAGAGAGGGAAGACCTGCTTGTTAGCGTATTATAGGGTGATTGAACCATGAACCATGAATCCAGTTGCTGGAAAAGGCAGGTATCACTCCAGTGCATTTTAGGATATTTTTCAAATAGGGAAGTGCTGATGTGGCTGCACAGGTCACTGGTATGGCTTGTACTGCTCATCAGTTGGAAATGCTGAGTTAGGTGTATTTTTCTGAGTGGTGTAAAGGAGTACCAGGTTCCAAGACATTGGAGTTTTATGGTGGAGACTAAAATTCTGATTGTTTTAACCTATCAAAGATAAGAGTGGATACTGGGTAGGTTTGGGTGCTGGTTTTTTGTTTTAAACATACCGGAGAGAGGGAATAACATTACAGAGGGGAAAATTGTGGCCTTGTGCTTCATTTAGGTATTAATAAATGGTTCTAAATTGGTCCAAATTTAGTTTAGTTCTAAACTAATTAATAGAGAATGAGAACAAGAGAAATATTGCTGACTTTAGAAGCAATGATGACCTGGAACAGCTTTCCCTTCCACCTATTTTTTTTTATGTTCATTCCTCTTGACCACCTGAAATAATTCAGATTCTGAGGATTGCTTGACATGAGAGGTGTTTTCCATTAATTCCTGTGGTTCCCATAAAGCTGTTTTCATCTTTGTTTACTTATGAAAAAAATGCGAGAATACTACAGCATTAATTACAAACGTATTGTTCTGTCAGTGCAAGCTCAGATAGGTCTGAGAGACTGGTTAGGGTTAGTGAAGTAAGTAACAGATAGTCTGTGAGACCCTGTACTTGCAGGCTGTTCTCTCATCCAGAGAGAGAAACTTTTTCTGTCTGCACGGCGGCCCCCCCCGCCTCGCCAAGTATGAATATAGGAAAGACAGAACTTCATTGCATGTAGCTCTAAAATACATTGATACAATATTCTTGTATATGGGTATTAGTGATAAGTAAAGGTTTGTTATAAATGTGGGGTAGCCGAGAATGCTGAAAGTCTTCCTTGTGGAAACATTTGTTCTATAATAGTTGTCTTGACTTCTTTCCGCAGTGGCCAGCGGCATGCCAGACTCTTGCACGCAACCTACACTTCACAGTCTATGGAAAGAAAAATGCTTCTACAAAGGTTTCTGATTCGGTATGTTCATACTTCTGTATATCTTGAGTAACAGATTAGATAATACATTTAATGCTTGAGAGACACGAAACAACCAGGTATTTGGCTTTTTGTGTTCAGGTCCGTAGTGAGATTGAGTTGCAGAAATGCACAGCATTTTTTTAATGATATTTTTCACCCGAGAGGGTATGTAACAGATGCAGCATTCACTTCAGGAGTTTCTTAAGAACATTAAAGCTATACTGCTAATGTCTCCATGAAACTTAAGTTTGACCTAGCTTGAAATATTTGTAATCATAATAAGCTGGTTTATTTTTCCAGATTTCTACACAATATCCAGTAGTGGACCATGAATTTGATGCAGTTGTTGTGGGTGCAGGAGGAGCAGGTCTGCGGGCTGCATTTGGTTTGTCAGAAGCTGGATTTAATACAGCATGTGTTACAAAGCTGTTTCCCACTAGATCTCATACTGTTGCTGCACAGGTGAGAAATGAAGTAGAACAAATGTTTAAAATATGCCTGCTGTCATAAAGCTGATCTGGATATGCAACATCATGTTTCAAGGCCTTGCTTCCTTTTGTAAATACTGCGTATTTAGTTGAAACTATTTTGGAGGGCAATGTATGTTTGGATTCTATTCAGTGCTTTTTCACTGCATTCAGTGTAACTTTGCAATTCATTCCATTACACAAAAAAGAATGAGATAAGAGCCATTGTGAAACTGATAAATTGTGCAGGTTTTTCACAGCCATGTTCAATCTGACTTTACTGTATTTCTTGTATGCAGAGGCATAAATGGTATGTGTTTTTTAACAGAAGTGAGGAAAACCTACTAAAACTGTATTTCAGTAACATAATTCCAGGAAAATGGGTTTTTATTTTCAGGGAGGGATCAATGCTGCTCTGGGAAACATGGAGGATGATAACTGGAGGTGGCATTTCTATGACACAGTGAAAGGGTCTGATTGGCTGGGCGACCAGGATGCCATACACTACATGACCGAGCAAGCCCCAGCTGCGGTGATAGAGGTGAGACTCACTGGCATTCATGTCAGTCCTAAGTATTTATAAAACTGACTGGCTTCCAAAGAGATCTCCTTACTAGGAACACAGTAAAATAACTTGTTGACTTGTTGTGGGCAAGAGTTTCTGATGTTTGTATTTGGGTTCAACAGCTGGAAAATTATGGGATGCCATTCAGCAGAACTGAAGAAGGAAAAATCTATCAGCGTGCATTTGGTGGACAGAGTCTTCAGTTTGGAAAAGGGGGACAGGCTCACAGATGCTGTTGTGTTGCGGACAGGACGGGACACTCACTGTTACATACTCTGTATGGGAGGGTAAGCAGCTGTGAAGTAAATTTGGTTTGGGGTTTTGTATTTGCAGTTAATGATTTTTTTTCTTCTTCCCCTGAATTTTGGAAGAAAACAAACCCAAACAACAAAAAAACCAAACAGAATGTCTAGCTGCTCACATATGAATGAGGAATCCAGGGGAATGACTGATAACAATTCTAGATTTCCTTACTTCCTGAGGCAGTGTGAAAGGATGTAGCCTAGGTGATGCTTGTTTTTGTGTGGGTTTTTTTTTGTGTCAGGAGTATGCAGAAACAGAACGAATTGAAAGATCATATTTATAATGGGTCTTGTGAAGACAGCAGATCTTAGTTAGCGTACACTGTTAGCTTTGTGGTCTGTAGTAGTTCTTCACTGTTAATACTTCTGTGTCTGTTAACTAGACCCAAAGAGAATTTGTATAAACTTTTTTCAATAAATCTGACAAAGTAGCTGTGAGGAACTCTGCAAAGAGGTACTAAGCAGTGTCTTCTTTCATTCATCTTTAAACAGGGAGCAGGGCATGAAGGCCTACTGTGCATTTCTGAGCTTGCTCTATGGCAAGTGACTAGTGTTCCATTATCTGTTCCTATCAATTCTACAAACCATAATTGAAGCAATATTTGGTTATTTTAAAATGATAGTAAGCAAGTAGAAACCTGAACTTAAGTACCTAGCAGCTAATTGTTTTTTATTTACTTACTTAGTAGCTAGCTAATTGCTCTCCTTCAGGTTCACACTATATATGCTGCTGCAATAGAGCTCAGTGCTGCCAGATACTGATCTGATCCTTGAGGGCATGAAAGAACGTTTGACTTGATGCCCACTGCTTTTGCTGGTGTACTAGGCTCCCAGAGATGTATTCTGCTTCTCTGCAAGAGGTTAAGTAGAATGTGCTTGAACATGTATCAAGCACTGCAGCTGACTAGGGTGTTGCCAGATGTAGAGGGAAATAACAAGTCTTGCTGACTCGCTGTGACTTCTCAGAATTAAATGGTTTGGTAACTACTTGTGTCTCTTTAAGCTAGAATAAATTCATTAGCAAATTCTTACAAAGATTTGTGAGGAAACCAGCCTCCCTAAGAGTTGGTGGAGTGGTTTTTATCCTGATAGAGCCCACATGCATTTGCAGTTTTGGAGAAGTTACTTTGGTTTCTGGATTTTTCTGAAAGTTCCTTTTTTTATTTTCCTCCAGTCTCTAAGATACGATACAAGCTACTTTGTTGAATATTTTGCCTTGGACCTACTTATGGAACATGGAGAATGTCGTGGTGTTATTGCCCTTTGCATAGAAGACGGCACTATACATCGTTTTAGAGCAAAGAACACTGTTATTGCCACTGGGTAATGTAATGTTCATGATGGACAGAAACTTGAGCATGCTATTAGTTGGAGGTCTGTGTGTTTGTACATGTATTTGAATCCACAGTGTGGAGATGACATGTTGACTTGAAAAACGTAATTTGTATGTTCATCTCCCCCTGCCCCACCTTTGATCAAAAGCAATATAACTGAATCATTCATTCCCTCTGAAAGAAGACATGTACTAATTTTGTGACCAAGTATAAATTTAGTACAAGGTCTAACTTTGAATTCTAAAACTGTGACATAAAGTTGGAATGTGTAAGTGCAGTATCAGTGGTCCAAATGGTCTTAGATTTTAAAATGTGCTGTTTAAAGCAGACATCATTGCAATGCTACCAACATGTGTCTATCTGTAGGGTTCTGAGTTTCTGGTAGGAAACAGCTTTTTTTCAGAATTCTGCAGGATCCGTTACATTAAGATACCAACATTGTAAGCCTAATCGTTGTAGGATGAAATTATCAGAAGATGAGTGTAACATAACATCGCTTGGTTGTGAAAGTTTCTGTGTGTTTATTAGAATACTATATGCAGTTAGTCTTTTGCTGCTTATGGCTGTCTCCTATCTGTTTCAGTATGCAAAATATTTATAAACGTGTCTGTCAAAGAAAAATACTTAGTTTGGTTGCCTACATAATTTGGTTTTATTAAAGCTGAAGCCATTTTCATACTGGCATACTTTGAGGTACGTACAATATGTAGATTAATAATTCTTCTGAGAATTCTTCCTGAAATTGGAAGTATTGGCAGGTTTCAATAACGTTGGAAGCTAACCTATTTGTTTTAGGTGTAAGAATTCATGTTTAATACCTAATTTTAGACAACTAAGTTTTGAAATCTAAGAATATAAAATCAGAGCCATATCAAGAATATAAACCATTGTTATATGCTATTTTTGATAAAACTGCTAGTAATGGCTCAAATAAAGCCTAACGGTATTGGATTGAGAGAACTTTCTGAAGTAACTTTTTTCTGGAAAAAAGGCTTCTCATATTAACCCAACTATCCTGCTTTGAAATTGTTATTCTTTTTCTTGGACCTTCTGTCACCAGCTATTTTTCAAACAGCTTGAGCATAACAGAGTTGAGCATAATAGGGCAATACCAATTTTGTTTTCTTTTGGTCGAACTTAGTACAGGAGATGGCAAAACTTGTGTATCTTGCTTATTAACCTTTTGCTCTATTTCCACCATTATGCAAACAGCATAGTTGAGTAGTATGTTCAGATGATTTTTTTTTCCCCCCCCCCCCTGCTAATTCTCTTAACTGTTGTGTTTTGTAGTGGGTATGGCCGTACTTACTTCAGTTGTACATCTGCTCATACTAGTACGGGTGATGGCACTGCTATGGTCACACGAGCTGGTCTTCCTTGCCAGGACTTGGAATTTGTACAGTTTCACCCTACAGGTACAGAATAAGAAATATATAATACTTACATCATTATTTTTAATACGAGTTAAATAAGATTTTTTTGTTGTTGTTGTTGTTTTAAAATTTGCTCAAGTAAGTTTGTACTTTTCTGCAGCATTTCATTAGTTCATTAGTTGCTTGTGACAGGTGTTCATCTTGTCTGCAGCTGCTGTTGAATATGAATCTGAGGGTAAGACTTAGAATATGAAAAAGGTCTCGGTTATTCTAATTTAGAGACCAGTGTTAAATATTTTGAGGTGCTGTCTTGACAACACTAACAGGTTTTATGAATTCCAAGCTGAAACCGCTTCACCTCTTAAACTTACGTTTCCTTTTGCCTTTAAAATATTAAAGGGTTTGATACTGGATACTGGAGCAATGGGATGGATGCACATGTTAGGGAATTATACACTAAAATCTTTTGTGGAAGTGGCGTAGTTGAAGTAAAGGTATATATTTAGGACTGTGTGTTTGTTAACTGAGGATCAGTATCTAAACGGTGGAAAACAATGGTCACAAACAAAAGTAAGACTTTTTTTGCAGCTAATTAAATGCTTGTGCTAAGTGGTGAATTTTTTCAATTGTTCTCTTAATTTTATAATGTTATTGTTATATCATAGAGATCCAATGTTCATTTGACTTAGCTAAGGTTTTTCTAGTCAAAGAAGCTTAATTGTGTGATAATTCTACAGCTTTTAACATAATTATCAAGTGTATGAGTTGGTTAGCATTTTTGTTTACTATGATGACCAGTGCTGAAGGCTAGGTAGGCCTTCCTTCTCTAAAGGAAAACTGAGTAAGCTTTGACATTCCATGCGATTTGAAGCCATCCTGTACTGCCTTAGCACAGAAGGAACACAGATGAGCAAACTGGCCTTGAGATAATCAACTTCTGGTTTACTTAAAAATCTTGAACAAAGTAGTTGCTGAAGGTCTACAAAATCTTTGTAAAATTCTCCTTTTGTATTGATGGGTACAGATCTCTTCCAGTTCTAATATTTTAGATACTGTGGGTGTTCCAAATCAACCTGCTTACCTTTTGGGAAGAGTGTTTGAAAAGAATAACAATACTTGATTCTAAGCAGTCTTGGGGGACATTTCCTAGTGGTATGATTAGGGTGGATTAAAATCCACCTACCCCGGTGACGTATTTGCATTATTTTAAGATGATCTTGTTTATTCAGTCTTGGTCATGATTATGAAGCTGTCTAGAGAGTATCTCATTTGATGGTATTTTCTTTCTTGACAGGTATCTATGGGGCTGGTTGCCTTATAACAGAAGGATGTCGTGGAGAGGGAGGTATTCTAATTAACAGTCAAGGTGAAAGATTTATGGAGAGATACGCACCTGTTGCTAAGGATTTGGCTTCCAGGGATGTAGTGTCTCGTTCTATGACCATAGAAATCCGTGAAGGAAGGTTAGTTAAATACTCTTAATGAAGCTGCAGAATAAATACTTAATCGTACTAGACTGTATATAGTACAATAGTTTATTTGATATATACCTGATAATTCATGGGAGTGAGCTTTAATAACTGTTAGCTGAACACTGCATGTAGGGCAGGAATTCTGCTTGTTAATTCCTAATGATACTGAAAAGGAACACAAGAAGTTAGGGTTGTTCTGTTTGGATTCAGTGCATCTAGAGACAGTTGCTCAAACAAGTTTAGTGTATATGCTCTTACTGCAACCAATGGAAATAATGTGCTCTGTTCTCTTGACTAATTATCTTAAATTTTTCGTATTTCTGCTGAGATATGGTGGTTTAAAGTCTTAAATGCTATGAATTATTGTGAAAAGAAAGCTGGGAGGTGAAAAATATGCTTAAATTCTGCCACGTTCAACAGTCTTTTCAAATATGCTAGGTATTAATTTTTGTCTGATAACCTTTGAATAAATTAATTATTTTCCCCCCCACAAATGAAATAAATTGGATTAGAAATACTGTTGGTGTTTGCAGAATTCCTGTTATGTATTCTAGTGTTGACTGGTTTTTTTTTGGTAGGGGTTGTGGTCCTGAAAAAGACCATGTGTACTTGCAGTTGCACCATTTGCCACCACAACAGCTAGCAACCCGTCTCCCAGGAATTTCAGAAACAGCTATGATATTTGCTGGAGTTGATGTCACTAAAGAGCCTATTCCTGTTCTGCCTACTGTGCATTATAACATGGGAGGTATTCCTACTAACTACAAAGGACAGGTAAGTAATATGCATCACTTCTGTTATTTTTTTTCATCATCATAATAATAGGAAGTGGTTTTCCAAATATAAAAGCACTAACAATGTTTCTCGTAAAGGTAAGGATGATGAATAACATTAATAATGTAATAATGATGTCAGAGTACTTAAAACACACCATCTGGTTTGTTTTTGTAAATAACTTGAGAACCATATTCCAGTTCATCTGGAGTTGGGAGTTCCAAGAAAATCTAAAAAGAAGTTGCTGTCATGTCTGATATCAATTCTCTGTTTATCGAGTTGAGGAAAATTTGGTTGAACAAAGATCAAACTAGGGGGCTATTACAGTCTATAACTCAAGTTAATGTATATGAATTCTCTATACCTCATGTAATCTCTACACTGTAGCACTAACTTATAATAGTTAGAAGTCAATGTGATGGTGTCAGCTGAATTTTTCTGTTTCGGTGTATTGTACTTGTTGATTTTTTAATGTAAAGTTTTGCCTTAGAAATGTGTGCAGATCAGACTTCCTTCCAGTGCTTTTCTGACTTGCTGCAGAATTGTGGTGAAACAGAAGTGCACACTCTTCATAACTAAAGAAATCTTAGGTTTTAGTGCCATCTGTATTTACATACTATTACTACTTAACCTTTAGAACTAAGGTATTTATGGTTTCAGAGTTGGAGAAAACTTTAGATTGCTGTTTTTCATCCTTACATGCACATGGCCTTTGCAAATCAGGAGGTTTGCACTGTTATAAACTGTTTTAAGAAACGAGTGTTAATCGACTGTCTGAAATGATAGGTGATTACACATGTGAATGGTGAGGATAAAGTGGTACCTGGTTTATACGCTTGTGGGGAAGCAGCCTCTGCATCTGTCCATGGTGCAAATCGACTTGGAGCAAACTCCCTTCTGGATTTGGTGGTCTTTGGTCGTGCTTGTGCCCTTACTATTGCGGAGACATGCAAGCCTGGTAAGTCTCACTTCTTTTTAGAGACATTTGCCTTTATGATTTCCTTTCTGACCAACAAAGAGTTGTTGCTATCCAATTCAAATTCAGAATGGTAGACATAGACTCCTGTTGGTTAGAAAAGGCAGAAATCACTGTTTATGCTTTTTATAGGCATGTTCTTTGCTATGCAAATGTTAGACATTAGCATTTGCTTTGTGAGTTGATCTTTTTAAAACTAGAATTGGGTCAATGCAAAAACAGTTGAGATTTTTCACAAATTAGCAAAACAGAATATTGAATGTGAAGATGGACTTCTCTACATCCTGCACTGCATCTTCAATATCAAAATGCAGTCTGTCTTTTACTTGTCACTTTTGGAGAGTGTAATTTGCTGCCACCTTGTTGAAGGTGGACTGCCCGTGCAAGTGCTAAGAGATAGATACTAAAAATTGTAACATCTCATTCCCTATATGTGGATTATCACTGCTGAGTATTATTTTTAAATAATCTGGCTCAGCAGCAGTTATTGAGCAGAGAAAACAAGCAAATAAAAAAAACCCCACAACAAAATACTGTAATAGGCAGTTATATTGCCAGAGCAGCTGAAGTCCAGAAGTAGTCACCTGTTTCTCTCATTGCTTAATGTCCAAATTAATAAGACGATTTGTTTTTTCAGTCTGACTGCACAAAGTGCACAGAGTGATGGTTCCTGATGGAATCATCTTGAATCTACTGGTGCCTGTTGGCACTGGCTGTGTGCAGACATTTACTTGGATCTTTCTCTGGCTCCTTTGAGTTTGAAGTTGCAGGAAGGTTTTTATTAGTCTGAATGCAAAGCTACAGGTGAGATGAAATGTGCTGGTAAGATGCTGTGTTTGGTTTGTTACTTGGTAAGAGATGGGCTCTATTATTAGAGATAAGATGCAGAGCTCACGTGTACCTGCCAAGCTTATTGACTGGTCCCTTAACAGATCCAAGAGAGGGTGGGAGGTTTGGGGGTGAGGATACAAGGAAAGTACAGGAAAAGGTGGTAAGGAGCCACAAGCTTATTCCGTAGCTTAGAAGAATTTGCATCAAGTGCTGTTTTTAAGGAATTAACAGCAGAATTAACAGCAAACCTATAAATTCCCTACTAGCTGTCACAGGAAAGAATGTGACTCATGTATTCCACCAAGAACTCTTATTTTTAAGTGTATGAATACTAATGGTGGAAGTTCAGGAAAGTTATAGTTAACCTGTACCTCAGAGGAAGAAAACAGGTTGTGTTTTAGTCAAATCTGATTTTTAGTAGTTGCTAGTCTATGAAACTGCCAGAAACAAAAACCAAGCCCAACCTACTAAACGTTCTGAAACTTTCTTATTAGGAGAGCCAGTTCCCTCCATTAAACCAAATGCTGGTGAAGAGTCAGTTGCCAATCTTGACAAATTAAGATTTGCTAATGGAACCATAAGAACTTCAGAAGTGCGACTTAACATGCAGAAGGTAAGCCCAGTGAAGCTCTCAAGTATAAGGTGGGAGAAGCTGCAAGCGACGGAGATGATCTGGTCGCTTTGCAAAGTACAATTCAGGATTTGCTTTGCAAAAGTAAAAAGCAGTGTGAGAAGATTGTGTGCAGCAAAGGCTGTATCCGTTTTGTTAGTTTTTTCTCCCCTTCATGGTTATTCCTCTTGGGCAGTTTACACACTTTGTAATAGAGTAGCGTTTTGTCTGTCCGGAGTGAACAGAAGAATGATTTTTTTCTTCAGGCTGCAGACATGTTTGAAGTCAAAACAGCTCCATATCAAGCTCTGTCAGAACTAATGAAGTTATGTGGGATATTATGCACATGCCGTGTATGAAACCGATTTTGTTTTACTATCTTGCAGACAATGCAAAACCATGCTGCTGTATTTCGTACTGGTTCTGTACTCCAAGAAGGCTGTGAAAAACTTAGCCAAATTTATGGTGATCTGGCTCATCTAAAGACATTTGACAGAGGTAATTTGCTAGCAAAGAATACACTTGGCCAGTGTATTCTCTGAAAAGGGGTTTATTTGTTTTTTTTTTTCCTTCTATAAACCTTCTTATGTGTTTCTTGAAACTTTGGCTAAAGACTTTGACCATTTTTAATCTTTTAAAACATTTTGTAGAGCCCTACTTGCTAAACTTGGCAATCAATGAAGTACTTGATCTTACTGGTCATTTTCTGGTTGCATACTCTTTCAAAGCAGCAGAGACTGAAATAAAATTTAACTGTAGAAGGTACTAACTGCTGCTCTCTGAGAACATGATATGAAGTTGTTTAAATACTAAGATGAACTTTGTTATCATCTTCTGAAAAGGCCAGGGAGTTGCAAAAAGGTAACAAGGCTATTCATAGGCTGAACACTCAACTTTCATTCTTCAGCTGAGCAGATAGCTCTGCATTCAGATACTGCCATGTCTTGTATTGTATCTTACGAGAACTTGTTTAATTAAGTATAACTGGTGATGTACCTTTTGTCCACTTGTGTATTTCTCTCCAACTACTGCTATTGGACATGTATCCTAACACTGAAAGTAGAACTGGCTTTCTTGGACAACTCTCACTAGGCATCAAAAAGTGTGTTACAATAGCTTAGAATGTAGGGGTCAAAATGAAGATACGTTCACGTAAGTGAACTTGTGTCCACCTTGGAGATACTTAAATGCAGAAGAACCTTGTATGACTAGCAGTTTGGGTTTTAGCTCTCTCTGAGGGTAGGAAGGAAAGAAGGGAAGGCCCTGTTGTCTGGATCTGTTAGGGATCTACTTAAAGAGCTACCGTATAGCCAGATCTTGTGAGCTGAAATGAGGTATGGGGACTGAGCTGTAGGTACAATATAAAGGCAAGAATCTATGGTGTAATTTTGTCTCAGTAGTACGCACGCAACAGGAACACCTGGTAGAACTACTGAATTTTTCTAAGTTTCATTATGATTGTTAGGGTTTAGGAATTGTTACTGAGCCTTGCAGGCAATAGTGGGCAATTCAGTATTGCAGAATACTGTAACTGCAGTAGGTAGAGCATTGGCTAGTTCGATTGTAAGTACCAGCAATATGGCAGAAGTAAATTGAGGAATAACTTTTTTGTAGAACATCTTCCATAGTGTTTTAATATTTTACTAGGTATTGTGTGGAACACTGACTTGGTGGAGACACTTGAACTGCAAAACCTGATGCTTTGTGCTCTACAAACCATTTATGGTGCTGAGGCTCGCAAGGAGTCCCGGGGTGCTCATGCCAGAGAGGACTACAAGGTATAAATATTGTCTGTGACCTGCATGTAGGACTGAATGTCCTTGTTATGTGTCCTTGGATGGATTATTTAAAAGTTGTAATTTCTTCAAAGTACAGTCTTCAGAGTCTAGAGTTCTCTAAAGATCAGTGTAGTATTTTTTTGGGGTCCCATTTGCTCTGTTTTATCTGTTCTTATTTGTTATACATAAAATGACCAATACATGCAACACTGGGTAACAAACTCAAGAGAAGAGTTCCATGTGTGCGTCTGAATGATTAGAGAAGACTAAACCAGGACTATAGTAATAATAATGTCATGAATGCATAAACTGGACTTCAAGCAGAGTAATTTTCCTGTGCAAGGAACATTACCTTAAAGCCCTTGTTAACTCACAGTACTTAAAATTTGACATGGGCTGTGTTAAGATAAAGCTTGCTGGCTGTTAGGAGACACATTGTGTTACAGTTGTAATTGGAATGCAACTAATCATGTGGTTGTAAACTGATTTGCAGATATAATTTCTGGTCTATACTAACCTAATTTTCTCCTTAGTTACGGATAGATGAGTTTGACTATTCTAAGCCACTCCAAGGCCAACAGCGGAAGCCATTTGAAGAGCACTGGAGAAAGCACACCCTTTCATATGTGGATGTCCCATCTGGGAAGGTACGTTGAGCCTGATGCTTCAGGGTCTTTCTGACTGTCAACAGACAGGTGCTCTCATAGACAGCTCTTGATATCATGATAATACTACAAAGGATTGTCACTGTTTGAAGTACCTGATATAGTTTAGTGTACTTAAAGCAAAAAAAAAAAAAAAAAGGTTGCACATTTACTCTGTTGTAGAACAGCAGGCAGAACTGGGAGCGGTTACTGTGTTGATCTTTGGGAAGTGACTTTGCCATTTGAGCTAGAATTGTTTTTCCCCTTGTGTCAGGCTAGTTCAAAACCTGTTGTTGGTGCTTAGCATAAAGTTTTTATAGTATTTCAAAAATAGAACTGAAATCTGACCCTATAAAAACCTTGAGCGTTGTTTTTTTCCTATCACATTCTCTGAATTCTCTTTCCTTTCCCCCAGTTCCAGCTTCCCTGAATCTAGTTTGAGGACAAGTGAGACCACTGCACTTCTGAATAGCTGCTGAGGATGACAAGATAGAGTGACACAGTTCTGTCTCCTAACTGATCCACTGGGTTCTCTATCTCCAAGAGTTTCTTAGCTTAAAGAACTAGGAACTAGCAATCTTAGCCAAAACTTTACTTTTGTCCAAAAGGCCTTTTTAAAGTAGTAGCCTTCTGATACCATTTCTGGTCAGGCTTTTGCTTTTTAAGGAATTTGGTCAGTGGTAACTTGATGGACCTTAAATGTTCCTCCTAAGTTACTAACTATTCATTTTCTATGGATGGAAAAGAATAATGGAGAAATTAGCTTAGCATAAATGAAGTCATTCATTTACCTGTGTTGTTGGTCATTCCTGTTAGCTAGGTAGGCTGTCTTGTTTAGATACAAGAGGTTTCTTTGTGTTAAAGTTCTCTGTTATCTTCTACTTTAGGTTACCTTGAAATACAGACCTGTGATCGACAGAACTTTGAATGAAGAAGACTGCTCAACTGTCCCGCCTGCTATTCGCTCATATTAGTAACTTACGTTTACGTTGCAGTCCTCTCCCAGAGGGGGTTAGTGTACATAAGCATAGCACAAGCAAATCAAAATAGTATTGTCACTATCAATGGAAGAAAATGCTGACTAAACTTTTCGCCAGCTTATATTCTGCTGTGGCTCACTGTACAATTATGAAAATGGAATGCAGGACAGCTTTCCGTATGTTCTTTCAGCGATCTGTCAAAACTGACAGGGGAAAACACAAAATGTGTCTAAATAAAGTGATTAGAAGTCTTGTATTTGTATTTGTCTGAATATGCTGTTATGTATATAATTACAATGCTTTTATTTTGAATGTATAGTTACTTCCATATTTTAAGAACAAGAAATGCATTCAATAGTTTTAGACAAGATTGAGATGATGAATTTTATGATACGGGGACTTAAGCATCATAATTGCTGATTGTAAGTAACATGGAAAGAAAAGAAAATGATGCACTAGTAATTATAAATTTGTTTTTTTCTGAAGCTAAAATTGTAAAACTTGTCATACTGTTGTTTTATTGAAGGAAGCAAGATACTTCTACTCCAGTTACTTCATGCAAACAGAATATAATCTTAATAGCTAATCTCTATTCTTTCTGGAACTTCTGAAGCTATTTTTTGGGGTGGGCCCTGGGTGTGTATTTCCTAGACTGTCTTTTCTCTCGGAGGAACCAAGGGGTGGTTTTGCAGAAAACTTACCTAAATATTAAAGCTTACCAGACTTGATCTCAGTGTAACTTGTAAGGCATCTAGCAGTGTTTCTGTTAATAACTTCTTGGTTATTTTTGGAGGACTGAAGTGTAACTATGCACATTGCAACTGGAGTGTTTCTTAATTTTTTGACAATTTTTTGTTTTCTCAACTGCTGGTTGTTGGAAAAAATGGCTGTTGTTGGAAAAAATGAATGTTGGAAAAACTGAAATGTTGCTGGTGAGAGGTGGAAGAAGTGAAAACGCCATATTTCACTTTTGTAGCGTTTCTGTGCTTTGTAGCAGGGTGTTGAGTCATTGCAGAAACACAACCTGTCGCAGCACTTACACTTGCCTGGACAGGGAAGGAAAAGGGGATTATATCTTGACTTGGCTTTTTTCACAGAAAAGCAAAAAGGGTTGTTAAGGCGGGGGGAAACATAGTTTCATACATCTTTAAAAATACTGCAATAAAGCAGAATAAACTTACGCCGCCTTCCCGTCGTCTGCAAAGCGCTGTTCCGGCGCCTGCCCCGCTGTCCCCCGCAGAGGGGAGGTGGGTTTGCCTCAGGCCGGGCGCAACCCGCCCTTGCGCAGGCGCCGCCCT